AATTTTTATTTCGCTCTTTTCAGTGAACTCTTTTTTATTTAATTTTCTGAATTTTTGATTTTTTCTAAATTTTTTTTAACGAAATTGAAAAAACATTCAAAAACTCAGGTTTAAAAGGAATAAAAAGTGAAGTGTTCGAAAAGTGAAATTTCAAAAAAAATACAGTACTCCATCTGTCACGATACAGTAATCCATTTGCTATCGAAATTTCCAGGATGTACGGCGTGTTTTTTTTAGGTGACCGTCATTCCGCACTGGATCACATCAGCTTCAGGCTTTCGCATCGATCTAGATGATGGATGTCTTCAGATTGTTCGTATCAATCAATAGATCAAAAATCGTACGACAACGAGATCTGCTGGATGTAATCGATTTAAATTGCAACGTTAAAAAAACTGGGCCAATAGTCAAAATCAAACGAATTTCTTCACTCGTGGAAATAATTCGACAAGTATAGTTAGATCAAATCAATCAATAATTGATATGACAACACAATTGTAAATATTTTTATCAGTTTTTTTTTCCTCACAATCTGTAAATATTTATATAAGTACAAGGCGTCGAATATGTGCAAAGTGTAAAAAGTTTCTTACAAATAATAAAAATAGTCAGATCATACGTTTTTTCAATTAATATAGAATAGCAAAAGAGTTCAAATAAAATCCATAAAAAACCTCTACTTGAACTCAACAAATGGAAAGAATAAGTGAAATGAGTTATAAGCATATCGACTGTACCTGAACAATTGAAGTCTGTTAGTTTACAGAATCCATCGGTAGTCCAGTCCATGTTTTTCTCAGTGAGCTATCGGATGATCCAAGCAACAGAATTTTCCTCAGTGTAGATGACCAGCTAGATTCCTACAAATTATTGAAGACGTTCAATCATTTTGACTTCATTTTACACTAATTTCCTAGTCCAAAAATGACGAAATGTTCCCATACAATAAACTCGTTGCTTTTGATCGTATCTAGTCAAATGAGTAGGTGACATTTGTTTGATGAACTTTAACTCAACCTCTTACGAACGAAGTTCTTTCTAAATAAAATTAGTATTGATTTACCTCAATCTATTTATGGACGGGGGGCGCAGTGGCTCAGTGGTGGAGGTGCCGTAGTGACACGCCGGCCCAATCAGTTCACGGCCGCCCTCCAGGCCTACCAAGCCCACCATCCCTCCGGGGTCGGTAAATTGGTACCAGAAGAGTCTGGGTAAGATAACTGGCACTGACTTGGTGAAGAGTGGTCTACTCAAGTCATGTGTAGACCAGGCACGCATTCAACCACTTTCACGATATCACGTTGAACATGAATGCGTTGGCGCATCCCACCACAAGGGATTGATCAACGCCAACAATTATCTTTTTATTTATGAACGAAGCATCAATAGCTTGGAATAATTCCAATTTGTTTAAGTGTGTTTTGGAGTGACCGTGGCAGCAATACAAACTAGAAATTTTTCATTCTGTAAACTTTAATAGTACCAAAAATTTCCATACAGAAAGGGGAAAGCTGATATTCCTCACTTTTGAGTCTACAAGATTGCAAAAGCAGATATTGTTATTGAAAAATAAGACGAGAAAAGATTATAGAAAACGATCGTATTGACATCATTGATTTCAGTTAATAATCGATAGAGTTGAGTAGAGGCCAGTAAAGCTTTTAGCTTTAAGCAAATGAAGAAGAAGAAGTAGAGGAGAATAAACTACGACAAAGTAAACAGCTTAATAAACAAAAACTAAGATTTCAAAAGAAAAGGATATGAATGAGAAATTTAGTGGAGCAAGTGAGACGAAATGAGTGGAGTGTTCAATTGTGCGGAGATCAACGATAGATCAAACATTTTATGAACGATTACTTTGATTCAACAATTATTCTAAAATTAGATGTAATATAACTAAGATGTAAGATTTATACGTCGTCATCAAGATTACGATGTCTTATTACCAACAAGAAATTACTCAACGAATTAACCTCACTGAGGTACATCCAATGAAGCGGAAGATCGGGCTGCTTGCTATACTAAGTAGGTATGGTTGTAGCTGAAAGAATTACATTCTGAATCAGTTGATAGGAATTAGCTGACGTCATCATAACTATGAAGTGAGAATCATCAACACTGTGGTTTATTTCGCTCAAAAGTATCGAGTTGAGGTTACAGAGAAATCTTGTGCATGTAAATTTCAAGCATTTTTTTTCTTCTTCTGACATGCTGTACGTGTTCGTTTCACGTTTCATTTTGCCGTTATCAAATTCGTATGCAATTACGGTTAATCATTTTCATCATCGGCAATGTACACGGAGGTGAAAGAACTCGTTAATTTTCTAGCAAAATATCTAATAGGAAAAGTACCACGTCGTCCTGTAAGTCCTTTGTCAGTACGAATATCCTAAGATGTAACAGTTATCGATTTATTGGAATATGTACATACTTATTTACTGAATTAAAAAATTTGAAAAGCAATCGCAATTTGAAAAGCCCTCATCATTACGATGCACGTGGAAGTCTCCTAATGAAAAGTACCATAACGAAATAGAGCATGTCATAGTAAATAGAAGCTTTTGCCTAACGGATGTCGCAGTTGTTCCAAAGCTCTGTACGGGATCCGACAATCTGCTCTTTTGCACCAAATTTTTCTTCACACGCCAACAAAAGGAAAGCTAGTTTTTGGGAAGATACCGTCATTCACCACATTGACGAAGAATAGGATTGGCTAATTAGGCACCTTCACGGGATCGATATTTCTTCTCGGATCTCTTTGATAGTTACATTCGTCTACCTCCATGCGAAGAAAGTCCATTATGTAGTTCCAAACGTCCCCTCTTTTAAAATCCGACATGCCACTTGGTTGGCAAGAAATCGTACAGCTCCAGAGCCAGACAGGATTGCACTAGAACATCTAAACTACGGAAGTAAGAGATCACTGCAGATCATCAGAGATTAAGAATCCTCATTGTGACTCATTCAAAATTTTCTTCATAATTAGGGCAATAAACTACTTATTTATTCAAATTTTTTATTACAATTTTTAGGCAAGCCTTTTCATTTGTCAGCTTGCAAATTTTTTAATTTGCCGTTTTCGTGAACACCAATGGGATATCGATGATCCGACTAAAGGTGATTAGACAGTATTTACAATATTACAAAAAGTTTATTGGTTACGACTACGTTTATTTTTTTGTACACATTTGAAATTGAGGGGGCGCGTAGCGCAGCGGTGCTGATGCCACCATTATACCTAGGCCCCAATTAGGATCGAGGCCGTCTCAGGAGCCAACCAAGACGCATCCTTCTGTGGTTGGTAATAACAAACAGCACTGATATGGTAAATGAGTGATCAACTCGAGTCACTGTACACAACTGCCTGTATCCAGTCACCTCTGCGATATCACGTGAAAACCAATGTGTATGCTGATCACACGATTAATGCCAAAGCTTATTTCTTATCTTATTCAAGATGAACATCATCGTGTTATTCGTTTAAAAGTCAAAGGATTCACAGATCAGCTTATTATTTCTGCAGCCACAGAAATTGGACTCAGTGCTGAAGAAGTTCTTGAATGTATTCCAGGTGTGTTGATAAATAAACAAATTCATATTTTTTGTTGTGCAGCTCATGCGTAGCACATAGATGGAAGTGATGATACTGTAATGCGTAGGATCGAACCAAGCCCTCGGTTTTCCAGAGGCCTCCACAAAACTCATCTTATCTTACTTAAAATGAAAATCATTATCTCTCGGTGATCTGCAACTCGGTAATCTGATTAAAATAAGCAGCACTGAAATGGACAAAGTGTTTACCTCAATTCATTGCATACAGCATAATCTCATTCACTCACCTTCACAATATCACGCTCAATAAGAATGTGTAGACGCATCTCACAAAGGGTGATCAATGGCAATGCTTAACTCATAAGCTCACCTTTTTGCTGTGCCATTGGAGCTAATCTACGAATTGTGTATTTATTTTATTTTTTATTACTGTTGACAGCTTATTATATACTAATCTTCAACAGCTTAAGATGTACGACGTCATCTAAGCTTTCGTTGATGATGTAGGTCAAAACTTTGAAATCTTTTTTCGTTTATGCTATGAGAGAAACACCTCAAATTTCTCCTTGTCTTAGTGAAACTTCTACGGCTGCTGCTTATGTTGTCCGTAGCGTCAACAGCCTCTTCCATCTCTTCTGTTGATATTCACTGCAGCTGAACCATTGTATTGATTCTGCTAAGCCATTGTCACCATGATTAGTACATAGAAGTTTCTCACAGAGCTGAATGTCGTTACTTATGCACAGATTTTCGGTTTTTTCATTAGCGGATGATGAATTTAAGCTTCCTCGTTGAAGCAGCACCTAACCACCTTTCGACAGCGTACTTCTGGACGGATCGCCGTGAATGATACATGCTGAAACTCGCACGCATGCATGAATGTATTCTATTTGCATAGTAAAATTATAAGGCAATCCAGAGCAACAAGACCAAGGAGTTCATATCATGAATGAGACTGCGCCTCAGGGGCAAATACAAGGTGGTTTATGAACTTCCCATCTCGACACTTTTCTTAGTGCCATTGTAATTTACTTTCAAGTCAGTCGATTAACCTACAATATAGTCAACATTATGATAACTTACGATTGACTATTTGCTGAGCAAAGATCAAATCTCATCCTCTCAAAATCAATAGGGCTAACTGTTGAAAAAGTCTGTGAGGTCATTTTCAAGCTGATCATAGATGGCTCAAATGAGCATCACTACCACATGTATGAAACTACTAGGATATTTTCCAGCATACTGTAGCTTTTTGACAAAAATCCAATTTTAAAATTAGAAATAAAACAACAGTACGAACAAAATTATAGGAAAACTGAATAGTTCGGTCGAATTCCCGACAAGCATTTAAATAGCCGGCCATCGATTTTCACTCTCTTCACTGGTTGTTTAGGTTCATTTTTAGTGAAATCTAATTTAGTTAATTATGATGTCATCTGACAAAAATCTGCACGGAGTGGGATTTGAACCCACGCACTCTTACGAGTACCAGAAATTTCATGCTGCAATCTCGCGGCAAGGTTCACCTTGAGTCTGGCGCCTTAGACCACTCGGCCATCCGTGCACAACAGCAAGCTTTCACGACCTCCATATGAATTATCACCGTTTTTGTTATGCATAATTATCACATTACAATAAAATGACTATAATATTAACTAATATAACAGAGTGTTCAGTGGTGGGCAGTGATTCAGATTAATACTAGAAAAATTTTCAACTGTCGCAAATTACAAAGTGTTAGATCAGTTAAAAAAGACTATTTCTCGATTTGGCGATTAACTTAAGCTGATCGATATTGATCTTTAGTTTATTGATCTAGTATGCTTCTATAACAATCGGCCTAAAGCTATTAGAGGATTTCAGAACATACCAGAGCTTTTCGTTAAGAGCTTGATTTAAATGTAAAAGAAAACTAAAGAAAATCATTTGCAAAAATCAATAAACTTATTTAAAATTCTATTTTTAGACAATATTTTATTGTTTGCAAATCCTGGTGAAGTATTCTATAGAGCTGGAGAAAATGCAGCAGCCGTTCCAATTTGGACTGGAGAAAAAGGAGTCGACCCCGATTTAGCGTAACGTGTTTATCAAATCAACTATTATTATTAATAATAATAATGATAATAATAATAGTGATAATAACGTAGATCAAATTAAATATACTAATCGATAAAGATTTAGTCAAAGCATTTTATTAAGATTTGTTGTTGAAGATTCTTTTAAAGATACTGCTCGTTACCTGCGTTCGTGACGAATCCAGCATGTGCAGCTACAACAACACCGGTAACAAATATGGGAGCTGCTGGAAAACCATTCTACGTTGGACGATCGCGAAAAATTGACGCAGGTGAATCGAGCGCAGTCTCATCAAAGTCGATTTTTGATCTTCTCAATGTTTTTTCATATATTTCTAATTGTTTATTTCTTCCTCAAGCTCACCATATCGTAAGGAATGATGAGCTTATAACAACAAACTTTTCAAAGATAAGTAGCACTATAGGAAGAATCAGAGGAAATTTTCGCCTCAGTGAAATACACCAAATTCTTTCACCAATTTCTTTGGAGTATAAGTTATAAGTTCACAGAGTATTTCGAGGATTGTTTGAGTCTATCGCCAAGGAAACAAAGCTTTTTCGTCCTTCCGAGGTTGATGATTTGCTATCAACGTAATGTTAGTCATTTTAATTTGTTGTGGAGAGCATCTGGATTAGAGTTGCATTCTACCTCGTTTACGTCATCCGAGGAAAACTAACATGTGGCGCATCCTATATGAATGATCTCCAAAGCTTACTACGTACTGCTACTGGCTTATTATAGGTGTTAAGCAGTTGATAAATTATTCAAATAATGCAATGCTTCCTAGATAAAATCTGTCTTCTGAAGTCTCTAGTTGAATCTATGGAATAAGAGGCATTTTAGAAATCGGCGATAGCTACCTCAATGGTCGTTGCATGGTTGAGCTGATTGATAAAACAACATTAATGAACAGCGGATACGTTTTAGCTTATCGATTTTGATTGAGTCAAAATTGAGTCAAACTTATAAAATTACTTCAGGTTACGAAAAACTTTTTGACATCATTGTAGAATAAATTTATATTCATGATCTAATTGAGAATTAATATGTATCTTTCACTTTCTATTATACGAGTCTCATTTTTTCCTCTAGAGAACGGAGGATGAAGAACTTGCTTAATCAAAAATTACAGCAGTTGATATGAAGCAGTAATGTGAAAGTCTTGTAAAATGAAAAAAAATAATAGGACAATTTCTTAGCGTAGATCAAATCCTCTGCGATGTGATGATAAGGAGATCGAATGCGAGTCTCGTATGAAGAATGAGTTAAATTGACCTACTTCTATCAAGCCAATGCTGCTTATCCTCTCATAATATTTTGTTTCTACGTCATGGAAATAGAGAAAAGTGGATAGCTTCGATTAGCTTGTGGGGAGACTCAAACCATCAGCGTAGTAACACCGTGGCACCTTCTACCACTACGCTGTGCACTTGCAATTTTTATGATAATTCTAAAATTATTAGTTTATTTCGTTTTGAAAAGGGTTTGTCATTTTATTTTTATGCTTCCAGCTGATGATGTTGAAGATGCTTATGTTCAACTTAAATTAGAACCAGTTCATCTCGCTAATGCCGATGATAACGTCGTTTTACCTCAATCGGTGAGTAATATTTGAGGAGATTTTCTAGAAAAAATCTACGACAACTCTTAAACGTTCGTGTTTTTCTAGGTTCATTTCTCTTTTTCTTTTTATTGTTGTGAAAAGTTCAAATCTGTACGTTCTCGTTAAGAATTTTGAGTGTTTTTTTTTCATTTTTCAGAATTTGATGATGTTCATCTATACGCCTAAAAACCACGTATCGTATACAATTAAAGAATTTGCGGCTACACGATTTGGTAGTCATCGTCAACGACCCGATCATGACGTCATGAAACGTATTCAAAGACAAGCTGCTAATCGTGGACTGGAAGCTTCCAGACATACATGTATGTTCTCCACACACTTTCCGAGTAAAACATAAGCTCAATAACTTGATGGCTTCCATTAATCAATGTGCTGAATCACCTATACCTCTTTGATTGTCGACAGAATTGAGAGTTTACCAGTAAAGCATCCATTTCTTTCTATTGCGCGTAACGATAGTTCAATGAGTTTTTTTAACTTTGAAGAATCACTCAGCATTACGACCGTTTTCTAGAGCCTTCATGAAAAAGTCGGACCATCACGTAAGTGGTCTTCTTGTAGACCTTTAGTGCGTTTGATGACCAGTGGAATCCAACAACTTATGGTCGTATGCGCCGATAGTCACTCATTTGTACCACGTGTCCAGCTCAATCAGTCTTCAGCAGTTTGACGTGTACGGCTGCTACTTTAACCATTGATCTCTGACGTAGGTCAGAATTCTGAACACCTCTCATTTGCATGATGCGATGACGCCTGGCACTAACATTTCGATACAGTGTTATATTACTCCTAGAACACTTTAAAGGTATACGTTAGGGTAGAAAGAAGAGTAGGTAGAATTAAAGCTTTACACTCAATGCCCTCTTTACTGCAGACTTAATGCTCTTATATATCCTTGAAATCGCTCGTTCTTTTTGCTAAGTCAGTTGCTATTTTGTTCATCATATTGACCTCATGACCTTAATTCATATATCTTGACTGTTATTCAGTCGAACAATATCATTGACCTTACAAAAAAAAACTCATCGCTTGAAGTTCGAACACTCGGTCAAACACATACGTCATCCGAAATGCTTATTTTATTAGTAAGCGAATTTGCTCTTTTGTTTTATGGAGGCAATCGCTTACATGAGACAGCATAGAGACTAAAAAGTTAGAGTCATTAAGTCAAAACATCAGCCTTATATAATAAGGTCAGGTTTATTTTATACCAACTATAATAATTTATGATAGTTTGTTTTTGTATTCCAAATGGTGCTAATTAGACACGGGTTTGAGTCTCGCTTGAGGTTCCAACTTTTGCGATTAACTCAACATCATGTAGGGATATTTGATCTCCGTCAAGAAAAGAAGCAAAAAAGTCTCATCATATTGATGATATATCAGATAGTTTTATTGCTTCATCATTTAAGAGGTTTTTTGAGTGAATGATTAAGATAAGCATCAGAATAGCTTCAAGAGTGAATATTAAGTGATTGTTTATAACTTTTATATAATAGATTAGATGAAATAGATTACAACTACTCTATCAGTATTCTTTCAATATTTAGATAACGTCAATACTCACTCACAACCTCTTGAAGCTGGAGATGCACCTCATTTTAAAGCGAGTAGTACTTCACGACCAATACTACACAAATCATCGACAAGAAAATTCGCTAACATTACAGTAAGCCAACAAAATCAATATCCTCGAAGTCAACAATTTCAATAGTTCATTCTCTATGAAACCATGGAATTAACCGGTTTGATCGATCAAAAACGGAATATATATAGAGGCGCAGTAGTGAAGATGTTACAGTGATATGCAGCAGATAGGTGACAGAAAAATCTGGTTAAGATAAACAACACTGACTTGATGAAGAAAGCTCAAGTCAATATATACACTAGACTCGCATTCAATCACTTCTATCATATCACATTGAGCACGAATGCGTTGGCACATCCGTGCAGCAGGAACTGATCAACTTTTAAGCTTATATACAGATTCGATTTGAATATAGTTCTGATCTCCCTCAACGATCAAAAATCAGAGACGCAATCGTACACGCCAAGCTTTTAAAGATTGGATGGGCTGAACACGTGATGCGCATGAATGATGACCAGTGCACACGAGCTGTAAGTGATTGGATTCCACTGGACATCATCAAACGCATCGAAGGGAAATCACCAGCCCGATTGTCTGACCACTTCATCCAGGTCCATAGAAAGGGATCATAATGCTCAACAAATCCCTAGAGCAAAAAGAACTTATTGGACACCCCTCGCGCGCGATAGGTAGAAATAGAAGCTGCTCTACTGTTGCCCGCCCGACTTAGTTGATGATCAACGGGAATCCAAGTAATGTGAGTAACATCGACTTGAAATGTTCGAAGATTTCAGACGACCGATATTGAAACATTGAAAACGTTAACAGCTGAACAACGTGAAGCTCTTATCAACATCATTCGAAACAGTTCTATATGTGAGCGAATGTCCATCGAATATTTGTAGTTGCATACTGTAATATTACCCGGGAAAAACTTTTGATCTTCTATTGATTATGTTTAGTTGATCATCCGTTAAATCATCTACAACAAGCATTAACAACACCACAAGTACCTCACCCGCCAAGCACCGCCGGACTACTTCAAACGGATATCAGTATGTTTTTTCTTATGTTAATCTAATACCTCACTTTATAATTTTTTCCTCTTTTATTAAGCAATGTTTAATAATTATTAAAAAAAAATTGAATTTTTTGAAAAATCAAGTAACTCATTCATATTATTGAAAAACTGTCAAAATGAAATCAAAATCAAAACTAAATTTGTTTGCTGAGGAAAAAACAAACTCATTGAAAACAAACAACAAATTCACATCCA